AAATAGATGATAGATGATTATGTTTTCCATTTAGAAAATAATTTTTAAGAGTGTTCAAGTTTTTCACAAATTTTCAGAAATTATCTCAAGTTTTCAAAATGAAAAATTGTACTAGTAAACATGTTTTCTGTTTTCTATTTTCAATTTCCAGAAATTTTCAGTAAACAACCCCTAAGTTTCTAATCGTAAATAAAAGAAAGAGGGAAAATGAGAAGCAAATATTGTGATTATTAAATTGTTCCTTTTATTTAACACAGAATAACAAACAAAATACTACATTAAGCAACATGAGAGTATATTGAAACATAAAAGTCGTTTAGAACGAAATCCAAAAAAAACCATCATAGCCACCCTTTTGGTATTAACTCCATTTTTTTTTTGAAAACTGTATAACTCCATTTTAAATCTTGCCGAAATTACTTTTACCTTTGTCTTTCGCTCTTCAATTCCTGTAGGATCAGCAAGGCGCAGCCACCAGCCACTGTCGCCCATAGCCAATCAACCACAAGTGCAGCCCATTGTCGCCGCCAGTTGCTCATTCCCGGCTGCTGAAACAGCAAATCCAAGTGTCCAACCAAACAACACTGCTCTGGTGCTCCCTCAGTCTCTCACTCGCTCGTCGCCGGACAGAACATGACGCCGAAACATCAGGTTTTTTTTTCCCTACTTTAATACTTTTTGGATTTAGTAGTTCCCATTAAATCCAGTAACTAATAAGCTTGTTATGAGAAACTAGTATTGCACCCGTGCGATGCACGGACTAAATATTTATTTCACATATAAAAATTGAGTTTTTTTGGTTGTTTATATTTTTTTTTTATTTAATTATTGTTTACTATGCTAAATAAATTAATTTATAAGAAGTATTAAGTTTAATACCGTTTTATGGTTATAAAAAAATAATAAATAAATAATTTTTAATATGTTATTACAAATAATTTTTTTGAACTCTAAAGTATATGTTCTATGTTTTATCTATCTATTGCAGTTCAAAGAGTCAATTTTCCACTACTGAAAATCAATTTTATAATTTTCCCTCAAGGAGAATCACAAAAGTGTCATCTGATCATAAGATACTTAGCTTATTATTGACAATCTAATTATTAAAAATAGGTAAAAAAAAAAAAAGAATACAAATATAAAACCCAATTATAATAAAACTAAAAAAAAAAATCCTTTATATAATAAAGCTATATGGTTTGGGAAATAATTAATATTACAATTAATGCCACAACATCCTTTATTATACAAAAAAAAAAAAAAAAAAAAAAAAAAACACAACATTTAAAAAAATAAAATAGCTATATATTATATAATCATATAAAAAAAATATACTTTTGAAAAATAAAATAGCTATATATTATATAATCATATAAAAGATGTGTTCAATTAGACTTTAAATTTACACATACAAAATTTGAAATTTGCTTTCCAAATGTAATTATCTTAGTTATTATTCGTATTGTGGAAATTATAATATAGATGAAATACAATTAAGAATAATCAATGTAATTATGTAAATTCTCTTTATAAGTTTATTTGAATATGCACATAATTAGAGATTATATTAATCATACAAAATTATAATTATAATTTTAATTTTAATTTTAATTTTGTATTCTATAAAAATAATAAATACTTGACCAATAGAAGCTCAAAAATATTATTATATTAAATAATTTAAAATATTTTAGTTTTTCTATTTTTTATTTATATTTATAATAACATAATTTTTTCTCGTGCATCGCACGGGTGAATTACTAATTTATTATAAAAGTCACAAGCTCAACCTAAACAACCCAATTAATAAAACTTTAAATTATATATATATATATATATATATATATATATATATATATATATCCTAACCATCGGCCCATTTCTAGTAGGAATTTAAAAACACATTCATAGGCTCATTATTTATATAAATATATATTTAAACAATTAATTTTCCATACATGGTCCAGATAATTCCTTTTATCTAGCCCATCACTCGACATACGGCCCACAGATTGGTTTCTCTTCTTTCCTCTCTTTTCGCTTCAGCCGTTTCTCTCTAAACTTTTACTACGCATTCAGGAAACTTTTCCACAGATTGGTTTCTCAATCTGTAATCTTTTTCCTTGTCTCTGAAACGTTATTTTCACCATTTCCTTGTACCTCTGAGCTTCAATTTAATCGGTTCACAACTCGCGACCGGTTGCACCAAAGAAAACCCTAAAACTTTGTCTTCATCAAATCAGGTATATCAAACACCACTCAACAAAACGATCGGTTGAAAACTTTGGAGAACCGATCTGGAAGAAAGCAAACAACACTATACATTCAACAAAAATTACGACATTTGTAAGATAATAGTTCGATTTTTTCAATTTTCACTTATTATTGTATTTCTGTGTATTGTTTGTTTTTAGGAATAATATACACATGCTATAATTTTTAGATGTAGAAATCTATTAGTATATCAAAACATAGTTAGCTCTTAATGATTTTTTAATCTTTGTTGTGTCTAATATTTTTGTTAATATGTGCCTTTTTTATTTTTATTTTGGGTTTATTTGGATCCACATGCCATGAATACTTTTGCACATAAATTAAGATAATATTTTTGTGTTATGCTTTTGTACTGTTTTTAATTGTTTTTATCAGTAAATGTTTAAGTATACTATAATAATAGAACATAAAATAGATTAAAACATAGATTACATGTTGGTTTTCATAATAATTCATCTAAAAAAATAGCTCAATAATTTTGGGTATGGTTTTGGTGGGAATAACAGGTTTTGTAATCCCCTTATCATTTTTATCCAATTTGACAAAGAAGTCTCGGGATGAAAAGATTGAATTTAGATAGCAGATATGACTTAAAAACACCCACTTGTGCTTAATTTTCTATTTATATGGGTAACTAATTTACTTTTATTTTACAGTTTATAATATGGTGGGCATGCATTATGCAAGGTGCTGTTGAATTGGCTATTGCATATAACCAGGTAAGATGTGTGTTTCTCTGTAATTGATGAAAATATGTTGTCTGATGCATGTGATGAGCATATAAATATATAATAGTTTTAGAGAATTATCAGTGAGTTTGTTTGTTTTTATGTACATATATATTCTCCAAAGTGGGAATTAATACATAATTCTTAACAATCTATTCAACACTTTAGAATTCAAAAATTATATAATTTGTGTTTTGACTATATAAATCTAATTTTTTGAATAATAAAACATAAACTGATTATTCAACTTGACAATAGAAATTAAGGAATATATCAAATATCAAATATGCAACCACATTACTATGATTTGAATACTATGCTCATTTTAGAACATAGAATAGTCTTTGGCTAACAATATTTTACCATGCAGATTAACTTCATCAGCAAAACAATTAAAATAAATAAAAGATGAAACTATGCATTGCACAAGTAAGAACTGTGTATATTTCTTAGTTTAATAGCTACATAGCAAGTGTTCCATGTACCTTCACCTGCCTTTGATTGTTTTCTAGCTCATCCCTGGTCCTTTGATTGCTTTCTAGCTCATCCCTGGTCCTTTGATTGTTTTCTAGCTCATCCCTATGGTTATTGAGCACTTCAGCTGCTTCATGCTTGAATGTTATGATTTGACATATATTGAACTTTTTGCTTGAAAATGAATGCGCGCTTTTGTGTTCTAAGTGTTATCAACATATTGAGTGTAATGGAGTCTTTAACCATCATTACAAAAGGGAACATAATTACTTTTTATTTTACAATTTTTTTTTTTTTGCTTTGAAAATTGGATTTATTTGGAAGTTGAAGAGCGTACCCTTAGTTGTCGTTTTTTTTTTTTTTTTTCTTCTTCTTTATATATGTACACTCAGGAAACTAACAATTTAGTTTCTTGCAAATGATGACAATAGAGATGCATTTTTAGAAACATCTCTACACATTTGTTTCCATACACATTGTAAAATATGTTATATGACTCTCTTCTCACCTATTTCATACTGTTTGGAGTGGGTTTGATCGTTTGGTTTGTCTCATGTGGGCTTCTAGCTTTCTCTTGGGCATTATCTACTTGCCATTTTTTGAACTGTTAGATTGAATTTCTTGTACTGTATTTTTCTTTGTTTGCAATGATGTTAACAATTAAAAATGCAGGCAAATGATCAAGTTGAGTTTGATGAGCAGGGATAAAAGTCTAGCAATATACTACTCCGTATATTAATTTTAAAAACATGAATGCTTCTTGTATTACTTACCTCTCCATCATGAAACATACAGTTTTGACTTTTGATAGATTTCCTTGATCTTCATTCAGCAGCTTCGTACGTGCTTATCAAACTCACCTTCATATCTTTCTTGGTTTAATCGGAGTGTATTTCCGAACCATGAATGAATTGGTCGAACATAGTGATTGAACATTTGTTTTGGTTTTTTTATGTGCACAATGGTTTGTAACATACTAACATGTATATATAGAGATAGAGAAGCTATGTATGAGGCGTGCAACATAAGCCATCAAGAAACCCATTTACACGTTCTGACATCGTGTAGATTAAGATGAAAAGACTGACTTGACAGCAAAATAATATTAAATTTGTTGGGAATATGTTAAAGACACATTTACACGTTATCTACATAGAAAAAGACAATCAAGGAAATCAATAAAAAGATTTAAATCTATCAGAAGTCAATAAAGTTTCCTAAAATTCTGCAACTAAAATTCATCTATCAAACTACACCGTTTTGTTTAGGCGGGAAAATGGAACCATTTGATTGGTCCAAATCTAGTGGCATATATATATATATATATATATATAGATTTTTTTTTTGAAAACTGTATTAACTCCATTTTAAATCTTGCGGAAATTACTTTACCTTTGCTGTTCGCTCTTCAATTCCTGTAGGATCAGCAAGGCGCAGCCACCAGCCACCGTCGTCCAAAGCCAATCAACCACAAGTGCAGCCCATTGTTGTCGCCGGTCGCTCATTCCCGGCTGCTGAAACAGCAAATCCGAGTGTCCAACCAAACAACACTGCTCTGGTGCTCCCTCAGTCCCTCACTCGCTCGTCGCCGGACAGAACAGGACGCCGAAACAGCAGGGTTTTTTCCCTACTCTAATACTTTTTGGATTTAGTAGTTCCCATTAAATCCAGTAACTAATAAGCTTGTTATGAGAAATGACATATGCCCGATCCAAAAGTTGTTTAAGAACTTGTTTGACATCATTAACAAAAAAGAGAGGAGAATTTAGCAAAGTGTGTAAATAGATGGAGCAATCTGGCGCAGTTTCTTCGAAATTCTTCAATAATAACTCTCAAGGACTCTTTTTCAGAAATGTATATATTTGTTTTCAAGTTTACTTCTCTCGTATCTACTTTTTACTGAATCTATATCAATTTCATTGCTTAATTAGGGCTTTAATTTAATTAGATAACTTCTTTCAATCTCAGCATTTGGCATAAACATTAGTTCATGTTGGCCAGATGGGAGTTTAAATATGGAGTATATTTTATTTGCAAATATGCCAAGCTTTTTTAGGATGGTTTAGTTTATGCTTGAATTTTCATCTTTGCACTGAATGTAGTTTGTTTTAGCTTTCCAGGTCAAGTTTTGCATTATAGATGAGTGATTGTCTGAAAATGCTTTGTTCGCATCGAAAGCATGTTCTCTTTCTGATATACATTATTAACTTCAGCCTCATTGGTCCAGCACTGAGTCATAGGAGTAAGTAAGTATCGATTTTGGTTCATTTCAAAACTCATATAACTGAAAGAAAATCTGATGGAAGTGAAGAAAGTCTTTGTGGTTATCTTGGATTTTGATGGAGCTGTGTCTATAGAACTGTTGAATAAGATAATTTTTTTTTTATTTATAGAGCTGTTTACCGTTCATTTCTCTTGGGTATTTTTTTTCAAGTAGTATTCCGAAAGTGGGGACTTGACTTCCATTTGATGGCTATAAAGTTGTGTATGGAGAAGTTGTTTTCTTTTAATTTACATTTGACCACACCGCTTAACAAACAAAATGAATGTGGGAATTGTTGGAGTATGTGGATTTTGTTCGATTGTGTTAAATTGATCAAGATTGTGAATTGGTAAAATTCCTGACATTGGGTTTACTGAAGTCCAACGTAATACAATTTTATAGGCATGAGACCAAAGTCCTGCATGTTGGGGAGGAGCTACAGAAGGAAACTATTTCATTACAGTCAGCATCCCGACTGTACCATTTGCAGGGACTGAAATCTCACACTTGGTATGAAGTAAAGATATCTTATCCTGCTTCTGTATGTATATCTTAATCCTGTCTTTTGTTTGTCAATGTTTACTTCAATGTGTATCAAAACTAAATTGTTCTGTTTAATGAATAACAGATACCAGCTACTTTTTCTTTACAACTCAAGAAAGATAGTTCAGGGTTGGAGCTAAATAGGGAAAGAAAATTACTGGATACTGAAAAATTAATATTCAAGACTGATGTCTTGGACTTGCTTGATAATCAGGTACAGAGTATAATAGTATTTCCTTAAAATGTATAAATAATAATTATATTTTGTTTTGACACCCTTTTTATCTCAGCAGATGCCCTAAATAAAGTCGTTTTGTGCAGGGTGCTATGTTTGTATTGGTAACTGTGGAGCCTGAGGGGGTTGTTGCAATACGTGGAGTGCAAGAAAGAAAATTCGTCATATTCAATATAGGTACTCGAACATTGAATTTAAATACTTTGACATGCTTGTTTGGCCCAGTATGAACTTGAAAAAGCGGCTTTTGCCTCTTATCTAACCTTCATAGCCTCTTTTTACTTTTACTCTTTTACCCAACTTATGCTTTTTTGGAGTAGATAACTCCAAATTAAGCTGGACCAAACAAGAAAAATTTTGTATCTTCACTCTTCGCGTAGTAATGCCTCATTTTTTAAGATTGGCAATTTATTTCTTTGTTAAGGCTCTCATTGAGAAGGGAAACATTTGCAATATGTGGGAAAACATGATCATTTCAAGATTTGGAATTTCTATTTTTTTGATTAGGGCACCTAGGGAAGACCTCTAATCTCCCATGACCCTTAGAAGAGATCCTTTACTTTGTATCTTGAAAAGAGATAGGTGCTTAAGTTCTATAATCTTTAGGACAGATCTGCTTCAATAGTTGTTTAATAATTGCAAGTGTCCTAAAATATAGGATATACCATAACATAAGGACAAGGATTTGGCTGCTTCAGTGTTAGTTGGATTAATATATTCCAGGTGACTTGTTAGGCTTAACCTTTGTTTATCACAGCTAGTTGGTGGTCTTGATCCCACAGATTAATAGTTTTTGTAACCTTTCTAGATAAGGATTTGTTCTGCACCTTGCACTTTAAGGTGTTTTTGCTGTGTAAATATGTTTGGTTCAGATTACAATGTATGATATTCCTATATGAATGCAATCTAATTCTTCTACAGTAAACTTTATAATGATTTAAACGTCTGCAGTGTCATTTGTTGGTCACTTGTAATAATTTCCCAGTTCAGTCCAGTGCCTAAAACCCGCTAACTTTTTGATTAATTTCAAAAAGCTACTGTCTCCCATGGATGTTTAGTCCCCCCATTCCCTTGATAATTGTGTAGTCATTTTAGTGGTTTGATGACTAACTTTCTTAACATAAGGTCTCCAACTTGATTAGAGATTTAGAGCTTTGGCATTCATGTTGGCCTCTAGAATCTGGTGTTATCATGTGCAGCTGCATTCATACTTGGATTTATTCTTCTCTTCAGTTGATATTGTTTAGTACGAGACAGTTCTCTGATGTGATATAATATTTCATGGCAGTTTGTGACGAACTATATTTAGGCATTCCGGAGAAAGCATGGTATGTTGTCGTGTTGGTAATATTGTGCTTGGTTGTTGCATTTGTGATCCCATCTTTTCTCCCACTGTATCTTCTACCAAGGAGTCAAAACCGAAATATAGCTGATCAGGTAATATCTAAGGATTCTTAACTATGTCGGACCTGACATCTCTGTAGCTGTGAGTCTCATTTTTTTTCTTTTTAAAATAATCTTATAGGCTTTTGATTTGTGACCACTTTGAACTATATTCATTTATATGTCTTCAGTCTAATGTATTGAAGTGTAATCAATTTGATATATTCAGGCTGTGAAATGAGAACTTTATATTTAACTATCCTTCAAATCATGCATTGCAAGTTCAATTAAACTGGATATTAGATACTAGATGCTTAAATTTCAGAAACATGCAAATATTGAGCTATATAATAGAAGTTCAAGGGAGAGAGTATTAAATTGGCGTATCTAGACAGGAGTGCAGTAATGTTTTTTATGCCAAAAAAAAAAAAAAAATCACTAACATAATTACATTATTAATTAATAATTATAGTGAGATGGACAATTTATCAGCAATTTAGCATATATTAAAGGCTGTGTATAAAGAAGCACAACTTAAAAGTTTAAATCTGAACTCAAAAAATGTAATATACATATGTTTTATATGATTTTGGTTCAAATGAGAACAAGGATTTTCGTACTGTGGGTGCGGCTTACACTGTATGATGCATTTATGCATATTTAATGACAAGTTTGCTAAACACGTTAGACGCTCCCTAGGCGCCGCTTTATTTATTTTAAATGTAAAAAAAATTAAAAATTAAAAATTATCAAAATTCACTAATAAGCATATTTATTTTAAATGTAAAAAAAAAAAAATTAAAAATTAAAAATTTTCAAAATTCACTAATAAACATAAGGTTCTCATTGTTTTTCTTACAAATTATTTACGTAAGTGGTTGTAAAATCGCTCTTGAAAAAATACACAATTTGAAAAAAAAAAATTGTCCAAGACGAACAAAACAATAAAAAAAAATAAAAAATAAACTGCCAATTCAGCCGGCTAGGCAACCGCCTAACCGGCCAGACAGCCGCCTAAACCTCCTAACCGGCTGGCGATTAATCGGTGCCTAGGCACGATTTTTGTAACATTACCTAGTGTAAATCGCTCCGATCACACGAAAAGCTCCGTTCTCACACTGACCCTGTTTTATATAAAATGTATGCTCAACTCTCTAAATTCAAAACTTTAATTAATATAGAACCAAAATCTCATATATGTGCTTTAAAATTGTAAACCAAGTAAATTTTAACTGAACTAATTCGTATGATATTTTCCGTAATTATTCCCAAATTTGCACAAGCTACAAATGTCTAGTAAACACAACAAAATTTCAATACATTGACTAAACACAACTCGAGCAAAACAAGTCAAAATGTTTTTGAAGTTTCCAAATGACAATGAGTCATATTACATATGCAAAAGTAACATACAAAAAAATACATAATCACACAACATAGTTTCTCGTTCTCTGATACCCAGAAAGAATAAAGACTTTACTGGGGGGGTTATAGTCCACTGCAGAGGCACTGCAACAGACTGGCAACCTTCAAATTGTTCCTACACAAGGCCGAATTATTATTCTAAGCAGTATTAAAGTACACAACAGATTCGAAGTGGCATAAATTGATCAATTACAGTGGTTAATGGCTTTATTTCAATGCTGGCGTCTTAGATGCAGGTGTCTTGCCGTTAGCCGCACCTAGCAATTGTTCTTTCAATTTCTCTTCTTCTTTCACCTTTTCCACCTCTTTTGGACACAAGAAGCTTGGCTGATTGGTTGAAGAAAGAAGCCGAGCCCACATCCTGTCAGTAATTACAACCTTGTTTTGCCGCTCAGTAATGCGCTGCATGAATGGGCAAAAATTACGAGTCAATTTTCTGATGTTGCACTGGACACCGCGTTTTAAAGCCCACAGCATCTCAAAGAATCACTTTCAGCTCCCAAATAATAAAATCCAAATCAAAAAAGTTATCAACCAAGAATATTAGCATTGGAAAAAAAATGAACAGAACGAAAGTAGGAACTAGGGAGTGATCCACACAAGTTAATGTGTGCAATTCATAAAGACATAAACATTTTCATTCTAACATGAAATTATATTATTAACCATAAGCTGCCCATGTGAACCACCTACAAAATAGAGCTCTTTTCACTAAGACAATATTTTGTAATGACAATTGACACTTGACCAGTTGCTAAATAAATCTTAAGTAGATGCAAGAGGATGAGACTGCAAATGGAAATGTTTGGCATGGTAGTAATTCGGAATAGGAAGAAAAATCTAAAACTTACATTGAATGGTATGTAAGTGTGGCGACCATTGACAAGCCCACATGTGAAGCCTGTAAACCCAGCCATCGCTCCATGCACAGTACTTTGAGCAAGCAATGTGCAATACACGTTGTCAGATGCATTACTTGGGATAGCACGGATCATATAAGTTGGATCTGCAAGATATGTCTATTTAGCTCAAAAGCATCCGCACAGTTGAAAAAAAGAGATTTATCTCGTATCCTACCTATATATTTAAGAGTGATTGGAAACTTCCGCTGTTTAGAATAATCCTGCAAAAGCAAATCAAATGTTAAAAATAAATAATAAGTAAAACTCATAATAATTTTGAATTAAAATTCATTAGACATGAACAATTTGACTTACAAGGGAAAGGAAATAAAGAATTCAGATGCTGAAAGGAAATACCTTGATTTTCTGAGAAAGCCACATTCCAACATCTTGGAGAAGCTTGTTTCCTGAAGCATCACTCTCAGCCTTGGAACTTGAACTCTCAGCGGCAAGAAGTTCCTGTCCTGCTCCTTCAGCTATCACAATCACCATGTGCCCATTTTCTTTCAGCCTTTTCTCAACAAACTCCAGAAGTCCACCCTGTCCTTCAAGATAGAAGGGTGACTCTGGAATCAAACAGCAATCCACATCTCTGCTCGCCAAGGTAGCATACATTGCAATAAATCCTGCACCCAAATTAATCACAAAAATGAGAAAACAACAACAAAAATAATGTCTTCCTTAATAATAAATAAATAAATGAGAGTACATGTGAGTAAAGAGAATGGGGTTTTAACAACTATATATCAGGAGTTAACTTTTAGAGTGGAGTTCATCTTTAACATCACCAAACATTAAATCAAATGCTACTCAATTAAGGTAGAGACAACTTGTAAAAATGATGGTAATAGGTGACAATCATCTGCAATTAAAATTTGAATACTTAAGGTGCACCTTACCACTATAGCGACCCATTAGCTTCACCAAACCAATACCATTTTCGGCACTTTCAGCTTCAACATGAGCTGCATTGATGGCACGTTGAGCCTCCTCTACAGCAGTATCAAAACCAAATGACTTGTCAATAACCTGATAACACATGACAAAAAACTCAAGGTTTCCAAGGGAAAAAGGTATATTTCAGATAGATCAATAGAAATGGCTCAATCTTTTCATTACCCCACTCCACTCATATGCAACATTGAACATTCACAAACACAATTTTAATGTTTTCCATAATATTGGGAGTTAAATTGTTTTTAGGTCTAGAGAATGGTGATAATGATATGTAAAATTTCCTTTCAAAAATCTTGTCAATTCAAATGCAATACCCAAGATGTGAACTATGGTTGTGCAAATGAATCAGAGGTACAAGTTTATAGTGCTAAGCTCGCTTTTTTCCAAAACATACATATCATAATTTAGCTGCTGCTAGTATCTCAGAAGTATTTGGTACTTGAGAATGATTCCAAATAGAGCGGACGAGAATATTTAGGGTGTGTTTGGTTCGCACATGGGAATCGGAATCGGAATGGGTATCAAATACTTGGTAATGGTAATGGGTTTTGGTAAAAGTATTTAACATGTTTGGTAGTAGGGTGGAATGGGAATGGTTACTAATAGTAGTGCTTGAGAATGAATAAGGGAATGAAACCCTTATTCTATTTGGGTATGGGTTTTTCAATTGATGGGGTATTCGAAACCCATAGTAGTGTTTTAAAACCCTATCAACCAAACAATAACAATCACTTTTATACCCATCCCTATGGGCAAAACCCATCAACCAAACACACCCTTAATGTCAGTTGGTCCTCATAATATAAGGAAAAAAAAACTTTGGGACTAAAGAGAGGATAAAAAATCCCATTTTCAAGGTAGGATTATCCCATATTTGTAAATGGGAGAGGGAATTTAGATTTCTAGGTTAATTCCAACCCATCAAACACTCGATGAGAAGACTCAAACATGGCTTGTATTATCCAGTTAGATGAAATACAATGATTAGTGAACCAATGCCACAACATGTTAGCCAACAAATCTGTAAGGAATGAGAAATACCGGAATATCATTATCAATTGTCTTAGGAATCCCAGCAACAGAAACTCTGAGACCACGCCGCCTTACTTCCTGAAATAATGAAAGATAACTATTCTAATAATGACTTACACATGTGACAAATATTCAAACTTTCACTTTACATAAAATAAAAACCATAGCTAGTTGGTCATGTATCCACATTAAACTCATAAATTATCAGGCATTCAGTGACAAAGTTATTGTTATGCTACCAATATAGGCACTAGGCAATTTTGACCATTGACAATCCAATGGAAATGGTTATAGTCCAATATAAAAAATAATAGCATCAGATAGATATAAGAATCAAGATAAAGCTGATAGACATCATGCAAAGATGCAGAGGTTATTTGGGATTTGTTAGTTTTCTCAATAATGGCAATGGATCAACTTCATCTAAGGAAAATATGATTCAAAGAAATACAAATGCTTGTAAATGTTGATATGTAACTATAATATTCAGTAAAATGGTTGAAAAGCTAAGCTAAAACTCCTTTACGATAAGAAATGGGTATTTTTAAGGTAAGCATTTTAAATTCATAGATGGAGGCATTAGGTAATCCCCCCACCAGTTAAAATTACCTCATAGATAACAGCTGCTCCTTTTTGGGTTCCATCCCCTCCAATTATATAGACCTGAACCAATACAACCAATTAGACACAATTGAAGCTTGATGAAAGGAACATCAAGAGATTAATTTTAGTAGGTTTACAAACAAGATCTAATGCATGGGATACCTGATTAATCCCACGGTCCTGTATACTATCAACAATTTTTGTAGTGTCATGACCCCCTCGAGATGTTCCAAGGATTGTACCACCACGTTTATGTATGTCATTTACAAGCTTTGGGGTTAAATTGATGGTATTCTTGGCATAGAAACCCCTATAGCCTCCCTAAGAGGGAAAAAGAACCATTATCAGGGACCAACAAAATAATGAGCTATGCAACAATTTCAAGAAAGAAAATGACCAAATTGTCCTAAATATTATAAGCTATCTGATAAAATCAATAAATAAAAATAATTAATCACCAGTGCTATTTCGTGGAAGAATATTACCAAATTGTCCTAAAATGCTATAAGCTATCTGATAAATTCAATCAATAGCAATAAACAATCGCTAATATCAATAATTGAGCCTTGGAACTCATCATGAATCCCAATATGCACTCTACTGTCTCAGGAAGCCATCAAGCTTAGAACTATCAAAAACCTATATTCTGAATAAATTGATATAGACCATAGAAGTAACTTACATCAATCCCAAGGACTTTGTTGACACCATACATGTAATCAAGGCTGTGAACAATTTCCCTGATGACAGTATTTAGGCCAGGGCATAAACCACCACATGTTACAATGCAGGCATGCACATCATCTGAATTAAAATAAACCTGAACGGAATTGAAATACATGTTAAAGCAAGGCCAAGATTATCCATAATGTTCTTGATTAAGGAAAGATCATCCTATCATAATCATGAAACTTACCTTCTGACGAGGACCAGCACGCCTAAAATGCACCCCTCTTGGACTATCAAGGTGAACAACAACCTATAAAGAAGGGAAAACAATGTTTGTAAGTACTCCAATGTCAAAAGGCTGGATTTAATTGCTCCTAACAGAAGACACCCCGTCCAGGCAGGTCTTACATGGCAGTGAGTTGAAAGGGAAGAAGATAATTCTATCTTACAATTTTAGAACAGATCCCTTGGTACCTTCTAATAAAAGTTTTTACTTGCGGAAACAAAAATGAAAACCAAGAAGAAGAAGAAGATTAACAGATCAAGTTTAAACAGCAGAAATAACCTTCTGGGGAACTGTATCCTCCATGTCTACAAAGTACTGCCTGAAATCATGACAACCAACAAAATGTCAAATGGCCATTGTGCAGAAAATGTAATGTACTCCAATGGTGTAAATTTAAGAAAAAGAAAATGCAACATACTTCACAACGGAATATGCAGGATTGGACCGGAGTGGGTTTGGATAAGTCTGCATGAGCCCAAGTAACCCAAATGAGTAACTATACATCTAAATACATAAATCAGACCAAAATCTTAAGAATGATAGCTCAAAAAACAATAGTTTTGGACATAGATATGCACATAAATCATAAGCAGCACTCAAATATTATAAGAAATTAACAGGAATAAAAATTTTAATGTCAATTTTTGGATTCAAAGATATCAGCAATTCCAAAGTTTGATTTAACAGACAAAGCAATACCAAATCTGGGAGAAGTCAAAAGAAACCATTCTTAATCTAGTTTATCCGGATCAATATGTTACTATATGACCATATCACCCAAGCAACACAGTTGGTTTCTCCCCTCAAATGCCATGACAGACTACATAAAGTTCCAAAATAGGTCCATGCTTCCGTTTTTTTTTTTGTGTGGCTAAATTCATGTTAAGTCCACACAATGCTATTTCAGAATAGAAATTCTCTAACTTCTCACTTAATTTATTGGGTACATACCCAACTTAATGCTACTCTGGAAAGACTAGTATTCAACATCAACACCGACTCCACTAAGGCTTGAACTCACGACCTCCCCAATGAGAGTGCAACTTGGTGCCACTAGACGTGTCACAGAATTTGTTATTTGTGAGCTATTCAAATTTGATTGAATGCTAAGTGAACAATATGCACATAAAATTTCATTGAACTCACTTGGACTGCTATCAAAATAATGTGCAGAATCAAGTGCTCCTTTCACTCTTAACAACAAGGAAAAAAAGTTTCTTTCTTTTATCTGGCATAATATTAAAATAGACCTTTGGTGAGGAATCACAAACCGAATATACCAATTCCCAATCCCAACTTTTCCCCGTCTTTTCATTAGCATCTGATCAGGTAACATAAGATCGCACAACATAAATCACTATAATTCCAAAAACTCCGGAAATCAACTTCCGGCACACAGTCAATGCCCCAACCCCAACCCCCACCACAGTCAGAGGGAAGCCAAAGCAGAAGTATTTGGATAGCACGTCTACACCACATCCATAGTCACACAAGCATTAAAACAAAACAAAAAAAACAAAAAAAAAAAGTTCATTTCTCAAGATAAGAAGTGAAATGAAGTACACACAGAAGTGATGATGTAGACTCATCAACATTCAAAAATCATCATCCACAAACATACACATGTCGGTGTGCGTGACAGTGACCGTGAGTGAGAGAGATGAAGAGAGAGAGTTATACTGGAAGATCAGGGATGTAATCGGTGAGGTGAGGAACATCTTCAAGCACATAGCCAAAGTCTCCTTTGACGATCTTCATCTGACAATTGCTTTCTCCTCCTCCTGCGGCCATCTTCTTCTTCTTTTCCGGATTGTTCTTCAATTTTCGTCTGGGTTTCTTCTCTGCCAGTTGATTGGACTCTCAGCAAATGAATATGAAAGAAGAAAAAAGGGACAGGCGCAGACGGACGGCACGTGACGGTGGCAAGATTCGAGTCAATCAAATTTAATAGCGGAAAATTAGAGAGCGAAAAAAACCACCTTTATTCAAAAGCCTTGGGAGCCGATTGTATGCAATACAAACCGGTGGGTTTTGGCTCCCCGGTTTTAGAATCAGGACACGTTTACTAGCTCTAGAAGGCTTGTACAAATCTTACGCTAAGTTTATTAATGGAAGAATGTTTTTATTATTGTTTTAATAAATAAATAAAGAATGAGTGATATGAAATATTTTTTAAATTGAAAGTGTAAATAAATCGAAAACAAAATAAAAACTAATAATAATTTTTGAAATAAATGTAACATTATTTTTTTTAATGGCGAGAGAAATCTATGTCCACTATCTAAGGGTGTGCATTTGATAAATCTCTCATCTCTCATTGTGACTATAGTCGGCAAAGATTGCAGCTTTATGTTGTTGATTTGAAACCATGTCTATGTTTTGTCACCTTGTTATTTAAACATATATGTAATAATAGTCAAATAAACCATTCAACTTTTATTATAACTAGTATTTGCACTCGTGCGATGCACGACCATATATAATCTATCATAGAAAAAATGTTAAATATAGTATAAAAATTATATGAATTTTTTTTTTGATAACAAAAATTATATGAATTTAATTCAAGAAAGTTTATACAATAATACTAAATATAGTATAAAAATAAAATAATATTAATTCATATTATTTTTCAATTTAGAAAAAAATTAACCAATAAATAGAAATTTTGTATGTATGTATGTATGAATGAAAGAAAGAAATTACAAAATCTAAAAATAAATAAATATAAATGTTATTTTATAATATTTAATAAACAAATATAATAAATTCTTGACCCAAGCTTTATTATTATTTTTTTTTTCTAAATAATACGACCCAAAACTAACACAATAATGCGTCCCATAATAAATCATATAATATCCATTACATTTAATTTTCAAATGGGGTGACCTTGAAGATTATTACTCTTCTCTAAGGGTATGTCCACTATCTAAGGGTGTGCATTTGATAAATCTCTCATCTCTCATTGTAATAGTCGGCAAATATTGCAGCTTTATGTTGTTCATTTGGAGCCATGTCTATGTTTTGTCACCTTGCTATTTAAATATTATTATAAGAAAAAAAAATAATATATATATATATAATAATAATAATAATAATAATAATAATAATAATAATAATAATAATAATAATAATAGTCAAATCAACCATTCAACTTTTATTATATTAACAATTAAACTATCAAACTCGAAAAAGCTTTAAATAAATCTAAAAACTTACAAAAATAAAGCAATTTGAGTTCTTTTTGTAGGTTACAATTAGACAATTGGTTAAAAAAAAGTGATGTGTAATCTAATTGAATTTTAAATATGATATTGCATATATGTGTCAATTTATAATCAAAGTTAGTGTCACTTTTAATCCTCAACTATTATTCACTTTCTACCGTTGGTCTTCAACTATAAATTTTGTCACATTTAATGCACATCAGCACAAGTATACTTTTGTTGCTATATTTAGTATACATGTATACTTTTGTTGTCATATTTGGTGTTTTGGACTTGAACTTGCCTTTGTTGATAAATTTCACCAAAGGGAATTTTTGGAGTACAGGGTGTACCCCGCAGGCGAAACGGCGAGCAGTGGCCTACCCGCCGCCCCACCCGCGGGGAATGAAGTGGATTATGGGGTGTACCCCGCGGGCAGGCCCACGGGTGGGGGCCTACCCGTGGCCCCACCCGCGGGGGAACCTTTGTGGTGTTGCGGGGAATTGTTTCCCCGTGATCCTTTCCTTTTGGTATGTGATGTTTTGACATCCCGTTGTTTGATTATTGAGCTTTTGTGGGTCTTCTTGATGTTTCGTATGTCTAGAACGATGTGTCAGGAATCCATGTTAGGATTTGGTGTCTTGAATCGTGTTAAGGGTCCAACCTTGTGATTCGTTGGGCTAATATGAGTCTTGAAGGTTCGTTGGAACCATTTTGGTTTACCCGTTTCGATGAGCATGCTAGTTTGATGTTGTTATGCTAGTATGTATGGTTTGTTCCTTCTTGTTAAAGATTGGCAACTCGTGTTGCCAATCATTTTGATGTTGGATTGTAGTCCTTTGTTGTTGAGTATTGCCTCATGTCTTTATTGAAATCTCTTGATTGATTCTTATGGTGTGATCTTGTACAAATTGTTGTACCCTTGTTGATACTTGATTGGGGCTATTGATGAGCCTTAGTCTTCTTGATGATGATGACTATGTGTGAATATGAATGAGATTGGTGGTTTTGTTACTTGAGCTATGCTCACATGATCGGTGGTATGTTACTATGAATTGAACGGTACCCTCGTGTACTGAGAGTTTAGCGGTATTGTTTGGCGGAAGTTTGGCGAGGGACGACAGTCCCAGACCTGGAAAAGGTTGGACTCAGAAGTATATGGTGGCACTCGGAGGTACAGGTTGGAACTGTGATAAGGCCGGGGGTAGCCATAAGGGTGGTACTAAGGTATAAGGTTGGAACGTGAAACTTTTCATTATGTGAGTGTGTATTTCCTTGCTTATGAGCATGTCTATGATGAACTCTACCTTGTGAATGGTAGGTTGCATCTAGAGTTGTGGTTGTCGCTTGTTAGTTGTGGTCTATATTGCTTTGATTGAAGTTGTGGGTCTTGGTCCTTGTTGAGAGTGTGTTATGATTGATTGTTGTCTCATCTCTTGATTTTCAAATGCTATATACTGTATTCCTTAGCTCCAAATGATTTTGTCTATAACTGTGTATATATATTGATACTTAACGCGTATTGGTGGGTTACCAGCTTTATTCGCTGACCGGGTGTTATCCCTTGTCTTTACAGGTTTTGATTAGATTGGAGAGCGCGCTAGTGGATCTAGTTAGCGTAGCTTGCTTCCTTTTGTTTAGATGTGGGCCTGTGTGCCTTAGAGAATTGTTTTGTTATGATGGATTTTGTAGACAGCCTGTGCACCCGTAGTTTTATGGGTGCGGCATAGCACCTTTTCCGAATTATATTAGCTTCCGCTTTTCTTATGTTTGATGTTTAGACTGTTAATCTTTGAAATTAAGTTTTAATTTGTTGGTAAATTCGGGGGTGTTACACATTCAATTAGCAATATTTCCTTCATGTATTTGAGCCATAGTTCCTGTAGTGCATTTTAATCTCCCTTCCGTAGTCCACAATCTGAATTTGCAGCTCCTTCCCTAAGAATGTCTCCATGTGTCTCATGGCAAACACCCCGCAATCTACCTTATTTTTGGTATCTCTCTAGCACATTTGCATACGTTTCGGCTCTAGAAGTTGCACTATTGTGGACTTCTCTTTGATGTGGATATCATCTAGGAAAGTTGATAGTAGGTCCCTCTGTGTGATGCACAAAAGCAAAGTAAGAAATATGCTTGAGTTCACACAGGCACCAAGTAAACAACTCTAATGCACTAATAAACCAAGCTATAACGCCCATTACGCATTACAGCAATCCACCAACTCCTGCACAATTCAACCTCAACAAATTCACCAACTCACCCTTTATGAATCTACCCATTATTCCATTCTACTCCCCCTAGTCATTTGCTTCTATAGTTATTTCAAATGGTTATTCTGTGGTACTCCATTCTTTAATTTTATTACCACTCATTGTGCAAGCAAAAAGAACTACCCCAAACTCCTTAATGCACATAATATTCAACCACTGATGCACAGAAAAAACTACATACACTTCTCCACAAATTCATACTATAACAACAACTCAACAAGTAATGCACAAAGATAACAATTAATTACTCACAATAAGCATTTACGCATTACAACTCACGGCAGCATAGTTTGACCTTGCACAACTGCACCCTCCAACCATTTACCAGTTTACAAATCACCCATCTTACCTACCACAGACATTTGGAACATTGAAAATTACAAAAGTTTGTTCTGTGGTTCTACTTTCTTCTTCTTTATTTTTTTTTCTTTTTTATTTTTACAACTTACTGTGAAAAAAACAACATCGATCGTAAATTCCCATAAACAATAATTTATGTCCACTCCCTAAACCACTACTTCACTTTGAAGGTTACTCTAAGGGGGCGTTTGGTTCAGGTTATATTATATAACCAAGGGAATGTGACATTCCCGAGCTTACATTCCTATGTTTGGTTCATTTTCTCTGAGGGAATATAACATTCCCAGGGAATGCAACATTCCCTCCACATAGGATTTTGAAGGGAATGTGATTCCCTTCATTTTGTTAGGTAATGTAGGATAACCTTGCATATTTATGAATTTTGTCATTTTAATTCTAATTATTTAAAGATATATATTTTATGTTAGCTTTTATATATATATATATATATATATATATATATATATATATATATATATATATATATATATATATATATATAAAGATAAGATAACCCTAAACCAAACATAATTATATTACATACCTCAATTTTAACCAAACACAGGAATCTAACATTCCCAGTAATCTAACATTCCCAGCAATCTAACATTCCTAAGGTAATCTAACATTCCGTGAACCAAACGGCCCCTAAAGATTGATGCTTTAAAGTTTTCCCACACTTTACGGGGCCCTTACTAGCAGAGTTATAGCCACGCGTGAACCCCCACGAATACCTTATTTGCTCTCATACACTATAAAATTTAGGAAAAATGCACAGAACCATCCATCAATCGTTCATCTGCCCAAACCCTAGCCCTAGTACTGCTGTGTTCAATGTGTTTTCTACTCCTTCACTTCGAAATCATTATCTGCATCCAGCCCCCGCAACACATATTGTGATGCCTTCGTAAACAACCCACAAAATAAAAGCAGTAGAAATAAACATACCTATTATCCTCGCCGCCTAAACGAAGCTCTCCTTTGCTCCGTCTATTGGTACCGTCGGCGATTGTTTCGGTTGGGAATCAGTCGTTGCAACTCTAAATTCCAATATGTAGATTCATTAGATTGCACCTCTTCGTCTACACAGTACGGTAAGGGT